CATCTTATGTGGCCTTTATGTTTTATTTATTATGATTGCCTAATGTACTCTTTCACAAAATAACTATTTGCACACTGGGGATATAGCTCAGTGGTCTAAGTGGTGGCCTGGAAAGTGCAAGGATCTGGATCTGGATTTGATCCCCAGTGCCACATGCTGTTCCAGTGACTCACTATGAGTCTGAGCTGTGTAGCAAGACCCTGTACCTAAATAAATAAATAAATAAATAAATAAATAAATAAAATGTCTTTTTATTTTGATGGAAGCTTGCCTCCTTTCTCTCTATCTCTCTTCCTCCCCCACCTTTTTTTTTCTTTCTTTCTTTTCTGAATCTTGTCCAAAACTCATCTTTAAATGAAGAGTTGTACCATAGGATGGCAGATTAACCAGCTAAAAAATGAAGAAAAAATCAAGTGCTTGTTCTGTATAGTAGCCAAGAGTATTGGGGTTGATTAAAGATGATTTTCTTGGGGCCAGGTAGATGGTTCAGTAGAATAAGCGCTTCCCTGGCAAGCACAAGGGCCTGAGTTCAGTCCCCCGTTCTGCCAAAAAAAAAAAAGAACAAACAAAAAAACCTCCAAAAGATGATTTTCTCAGTGTTCAATATTTATTTTAGCCCTGCCGAATTCTAAAACTTAACCTGTAATTGACTATTTATTCCTCTTAAACATATAATAATCGACACAAAGCTGTGCTTTAATGATTGCCCCACAGTATGACAACATACAAACTCTGTTAGTGAAACATTCTCAGGCATATTGGTACATTCATACTAGAATAGATGGGTTTTGTTCTCTTCCTAAAATATGTGTTAGGCTTCGTGAAAATGAATTTAAGTGGAATCAATTCATGAAAAACATTACCAGAAAAATTTTAGTACTATTTTCAGGAATGTCACACTAATTCTGATCAACAACTCACCTCACAGAAGCACAACAATGAGAGCTATGGACTTGAGAAGTTATTTCTATGAATAATTTATCTAAGAGGAACAAGATAGGCCAAGAGAGCCAGCGAGATAGCTCAACAGACTAAGCGCCTGCTTAGGCAAACCAGAGACCTGTGTCCGATCCCCTGCAACGCATGCCATGCTGTCCCCGCCCCTGGAAGCCCTGAGTCTGCCACTGAGACCGGTTGTGGTGGTGCACGCCTGTAATCCCAGTGCTGGGGAGGCTGAAAACAGGAGGATCACTACGAGTGCGAGATGCATGGTGAGACTTCATACCAAATACATTTTTAAAAAGAAAAAAAGCCAAGGTTTTGGTGTGGGTTTCAAGCATATTGCTGTGTACTTTGCTTTGTGTGAATATCAGATTAAGTAGAAAAGATTTCATCACATGTTAGAGGAAATACTGACAAGTGTTTTGACTTGGGTGATTTGTCCTGAAGAAACTAAATTTGGTGGTCAGATACAGACAGTAAACTTAGGATCCTTGAAGCAAGTGACCCAATTAATATTATTTGAATTTACCTTCCTAGTAATAAAGTATTACAACTTTTGTTTTTTAATAATAGACATGTAATGTTTCAGTTATGAAATTAATATGAAGGTCTAGTGGTGAAGGTTCTAGTTTACAGTAATTCATGTTCAAAAATAAAACTGTGCTTGGGGCCGGGGAGATGGCTCAGTGAAATAAGCGCTTCCCTGGCAAGCGCAAGGGCCTGAGTTCAATCCTCGGTTCTGCCAAAAAATAAAAAATAAAAAATAGAAATAAAACTGTGCTCACTACAAAGTAGGAATCACATGGAAGAAAAATATACATTCTCTAAACACTTCTCCCAAGACTTAGTAGAGCTTAGAATTAGTTCCTCGAGGATCTGTTGTGCATTTTTTTTTTTTGTAGTAGCAACCTAAACAATGAATATTATTGTGTTATGTCTGTTTCTCCCCCTGGAAATGCTGCTGCTTATGATAACAAACACTTCTAACAAGACTGACAAAAAACACACTTTGCAGTACTCTACCCCTACTGTCACTTCCCTTGTTCACCTGAGAGCTCAGAGTCCTACCTTGGTTCTGTTTTATTTGGAGGAATTATCTTGATAGGGATATTTTAAATAAAGTTATGACAGTTATGCAATCTATGTTGTGCAATATATAATCCTTTCCCATGCAACTTATTTAAGACAATTAATCAGAAATATAATATATTTCTTGCAATTTGGTAAGATTTTAGAAAAGAGTTTAATTAAATACGTTGCTAAACAATGCAATAGTTAGCCATGAGGAAAACTTTTAAAGCAGTCCTCCATCTGCTAGTATTTGAGGATTGGTTTATTTTATAATGTCATGTATGGCTAAATAATTCAAAATACTTTTATTAATTTGTTTCATGCCAATTTAAATAAGCTCCTAAATATATTTTCATTCTATTAGACTTGATTAGCTAGATTTGTTATTTTTATAATTAGATTTTCATGTGTTCATAATGCTTCAAGTATTATCAGATAACAGGAATAATTACAGGTTGTTGTAGTCAGTTGTCAACAAATAACACTTGGTTAAGCAATTTTCTATGAGGGATTAAAAGTAGAAGTCAATGTTTTTCTTATTTTTGAAGAGCTTCTGACTTAATTGAGAGGAGAAATAAGTACTCAGTAGAGAAGAGTCATTGATCTTGTGCTTCATAGTTATCTTCATATGTATAATACCATGTTTACTAATCCACTTACATGCTGAAACCACTTTATACATAAAAAGAAAAATCAGCAATGAAGGAAACAGAAAGAAAGCGTGAATATTGGATGGATTTGTAAGGATGCAGTAACTAAGATTTATATTTGAATCCTAACAGCAAACAGAAAGATGGTTTTCTAAAATCTATGTCACACTTATAACTTAAAAAGAGAAGCATTTATTTTCACAAGCAGTGAAATGTTTTATTGTTTTATTCTCGCTTTTATTTTTTGCACTGTTCTTATATCTGTGTGACTCAAAAGCTCTAAAACCCCAACAAACAAAAGCCCCCAAATATGACCTTATACTTAAGAATACATGCACAATCTCATTAATATTTTCTGATGCTAATGTCCTACTGTCTGTCCAAGTGTAATCTCGGGTCATTAAAAGCAAAGGAACAATTATGTCCTTTGCAGCACTTGAGCAAGACATTGTAAGGTGACTTAGCCCTGGTTCTGTGTGAAGGGAAGTCAAAAGGATATTCTTTGTTCCTTTATTCATATTCCTACTTTAAAAAAGTGTAATTGTGACAAATGCACACACTGACAGGGGTTACTAAAATCATCACACAGAGGCAAGGACACTAAGACCTAGGCCATGCTTGTTTATACTAGAACAAAAAT